GCTTCATATATGACACCACAGATTTTCAGACTCCCGGTCTGATGCTGCAAGACATCACATCCCCATTCTAATCTCTCTCCCCACTCTCCCAGCCCCATTATCATTGACTTCTCCAGATTTACCTTCATCCCAGTAACTCTCCCAAGCATGTGTAAAACTTTCCCTAAAACTCCTAATGGTGTCTCCTCACACACCAGAATAGTTGTATAGTTGTATCGTCAACGTAGCCCACCAAGCCAGGCCAAGGCTTCTGCACACCATCTCCCCCCCCCCATTCCTTAGACGATTTTCCACCATCCTATAAAAATGATCCTGAACACATGCAAACAAAAGTTGTGATACTGGACAACCCTGCCGAAGACCCCGCTTCATGTTGACTCCCTCCCCCACACACCCATTGATTTGCACCCTTACCTTCACTCCTGAGTATAATGTATCCACCCACCCCACTATTTCTTCACCAAACCCCTGTCTGAGGAGAATATCCCGCAAAGCCCCTCTTTCCACCCTATCATAAGTCTCTTGCCAATCCAATGCCAACAATGTCCCTCTGCCCTCTTCCATGTCCTCCAGGAACCCCTTTATGATCCCGTGGCCCTCAACCATTGACCTACCCGGCAACCCAAACTGAAACTCAAACACCACCCTCCCCACAACACATTTAAGCCTATTCCCAAGAATTTTCGTGAACAGCATATAAACAGCACAAAGCAACAAAATGACTCGGTAATCCAGAAGGGTACTCTGCTTTTTACACTTCGGGACCAACACCACCACCGCCGTTGCCTGTGATTCTCCCATCTTACCTCCGTCTTTCATGGCATTCATTAACCTTACTAGGAAACCCCTTAGCAGACCCCAGTGTTGTACATAAAATTCGCTTGGTTAACCATCTATCCCTGGGTGCCTTTCCCTTCCTCATGTCCATAAGGGCTCTCCATATTTCCTCCTCAATGACCCCACCCAGTGCCTCCCGATCACTCCTCCCCAGTTTGTATCGCACATACTCACATACCTGCCCAAGAACCTCGCCATCCGCGACACTACTTTTCCCACACTCCTCAAATCATCTATCTGCACACGCAATCATCCCCGTTGTTTCCCGTAATATCTGACCCTCTTGAAAACCCCCTACCAAAGAAATGACTTGCAATCCTGGTACTGTAGTTGTTTGCTGTCGTACCTTCTGTCCTCGCAGCATGCAAGCCGATGGCTTGTCACCCCAGAGTACTTCGTCCAGCCCCACTTGTACCAGTACCGCTGCAAAACACTCTTCTTGCAAATCCTTTATCGTGTCCTTCAACATTTGTATTTCCTCCATGAGGTACACCCCCGCCACCGCCCCCCCCCCCCGTGTAACAATCACGTAATCTAGATTCTAAATAATTTGACAAACCATACCGCAATTGATTAATGTGTTTGCCCTCCCTCACATAAAATTGACGTATTCTTACCTTAGCCACACTATCCCACCATCCTACCACATCCTCCTCAGTCCTTCCCTCTCCACAGAGCTGTTTTCCAAAATACTGCAAAACCTTCCACTCCCTCCCCATCCCCCAAAACCATCGTATTCAGTTTCCAATAACTTCCCTGCCTACGAGCCAAAGCTTCCCACCCCACCTCCACTATTACCACCCTATGATTGGAAGACACCATCTTAATAGTTTTAATAGACTCTATCAAAACCCTCTGAGAAGAATATATCCTGTCCAAATGAGCCGCATATCCCTGCCTTATAAAAGTATGTTACACCTCCCACAGATTTCCCCCAAAAGCATCACGTAACTGAAGATCTCTAAACAGCCCCCTAAGACTGAGGAAAAATATCCCACTCCTCTGGGTTCCACGTCTGCCCTCTTAACTACACAATTCCAATCCCCCCCCCCCACAATCGCCAGAGACGGTAATGTGCATAGGAAGTACACAAGTTCCTCCCACACAAAATCTGTCTTAACTTTCACGTCACTTTCTGCTGGGGCATACACACACACAAACGCCACTCTCCCATCCACCATCCTTCCACACGTAATACTCTCCCCCTCCCCCCTCTTTTGTGTGCAATTCAAGCGGGCTTGCCTCCCAGATCAACAAACCCACTCCTCCTTTTAAACGCTCAGATGGCAACATATAAGCCTGGTACCCAGGCACCACTAATTCACGACCAAGTTTAAAATTGTGTTCTGCACAAAAGCTATGTCAATCGTGTATCTATTCAAAAACATCTGGAGGCACTCACATTTAACATCATCACACAGACCATTAATATTTATTGTTACACACCTGAGGCCGGCTTAAGGTTTCCCTCCCCGCCTCATTTCAAGACTCTTCCCTTTCTGACCATTCCCGTGGGCATTTCCTTTGCCACATACTCCACCCTCCTTCCCAACCATCCCCCCCTTTCTGTTGTGGCCCTCTCTTAGAGTCACTCTGGGTACCATAACCCCATGCCTTTTTCCTGGCCTTTGCACTGGCGTCAGAACATCGTCCGAATCTGACGCCGCCGCCCTTTTCCTCGTTGTTCCCTCAGTCTCCATATCTGTGTCCTGGGAGTCCTCACAATGGACTTCCACCTCTACCACCCTTAATTCGCCCCCATGTCCTTCCATGGCACTCGCACTGTCCATCACAGGTGCCACCTGGTCCTCCCTCCTCCCGCACACACCTCCTTCCGCCCCAATCCCTGGTCCTCCCTCCTCCCGCACACACCTCCTTCCGCCCCAATCCCAGGTTCCTGCTCGCTACAACTCTCCACCTCCGTAGACTGTAGCATAGCCTGTATCACCGTCGCCAACTCCTCCTCAATAGCTTTCACTTCTGCACCCAGTTGCACCTCCTCATTCGACGACTGTACTGTCAATGGGCTGGGTAATTTATGAATCACCACGTCCCCTTCCGATGCCACAGGAGGAGCCACCACCTCTTCACTCCTCATGCGACCATGCCCTCCTCCTTTCCTCCGTTCTTCCTCAGGCATCGTTTTCTCATGCGCAGGTGCTTCGCCTCTTGCCGGCCCAGGAGCCATATTCCACTTGCCATAATCTGCCGCCATATAGTCATATTCCCCACACAGTCGGCACGTATGCCTCTGCCCGGCATACGCCACCATTACCTGGGTTTTAAACTCCTCGAGATATACATATGAGGGTATAGGATGTCTCACCTTCATCTTGAGATTGAAAGTACCCTCCAGAAATCCTGCCTAAGCTCCTTTTACCCATTTTCCAGGTTGGGCTAGATGTACAGTCACGTATCTTTCGTAAACGCTTCTGATATCTGCTTCATCAGCCTCAAAAGGCACGTTGGGAGCTTGACTCAAGAATAATGTCTTGATACATCCGTCAACCTGACCCTCACTGCCGGTGTTACGTTAATGCTGACATCTTGGTAACGATCCACCAACGCCTCGTACACTTGAGCTGTTAGCACATTCATGAATATTCTATAAACACCATTCAGTGCCACTCCATACAAATCCTCGTCTCTGATGCCGTATGTCTCTCTTATAATTTTGGGCAAAAACACCTCGACTGACGTAGGCATTAAAGCCCCACTAATGAGCTCAATGCCCACGGTATTCACTCTCCAGCGCACACCTAGCACCATATTGTTTTCTGAGTAGCTCGTCTGGGTAAGCAGTAGAGGGGTGCAAAGCACGACCGCACTCTACCTCATCCAGGCAGTGAATGTGACTGTATCATTAATACTCCTCCTCACAGGACACAAAGAATGACTCTCCCACAGAGGCTGCGTAGCTTCATGCATAAAAACGATTACCATCGACCAATGATCTTGAGCAACCTCCCTGCAGATGAAGATGATTGGCTAACACCAGAACCCTTCTATGTGTACTAAGAAAATTATGGCCCCTGATTAGGGAGATATCTTGTATAACATTTCTACTTCTACATCTACTGTTATAAATATGCTACATTTACTGTGGTGGGACACCACCTTGAAAGAAGCTAACGTCAAGTAATTCTTTACGAACTGCCCAGATTACCGCCTTGTCTTGCTGTTTAAATATTCCTTATGCAATCGCAAAAAAAGAAAAGAAAAAAAAGAAAAAAAAGAAAAAAAAAATATATATATACTACCAATTCAGAGTCATGTACCTATATATGTGTTATATCTATGTGACTCTGATGAGTTAGTATTATATCCCTTCAAGAAATTTCTATTATTTCACATACACTTTTTAAATTGCACTAAAGTGGTTGTGTCACTTAACTTTTATATCCTGCCTCACTCCTCCCTCCTACCCTTTTATATCCTACCTCACTCCCTCCTCCAACCCTTTTATATCCTACCTCACTCTGCCCTCCCATCCTTTTACATCCTACCTCACTCCTCCCTCCCACCCTTTTCCAATATTTCTATCCTTACCCATCCTTCTTCCTTACCCATCTTACCAAAGACTCTGGTCATAAGAATCGAATTCGTGCCGAGGCGTAGCGTAGGTTGCAAAGATACGGCCGTTGACTAGTTTGATTTTACGTGAAGAGGAGTGAGTACGCAACGGGCAGAGTGAGGGAATGACCGATAGACAATCCGTGGAGGGGAGGTTGTTGAACCCGTGTGGGTAGGCAGTGAAGTGAGAGTGGGTAGACTCCATGCCTCACTCACCTGGGCAGGCCTAGAGAGGGCAGCACCGTAGTGCCGCGGGATATGAATCTAGCAGGCAGCATAGGCTATCTACAATCACACCTCTTCAAAAAGCTGTGTATGTATATGTGTGTGTGTGTGTGTGTGTGTGTGTGTGTGTGTGTGTGTGTGTGTGTGTGTGTGTGTATTTATGTATATATTGTTTGCAACAGCTCCATGAACCTCCTGGAGAGCAAAACGTTACCACAATAAAATGCCACATAAGACGCACATGTAACCTTGTATCTGACATATTGTCTGTAATTCTAACAACTCTATTACTATCTTTTCTTTGTTATATAATACAGTACGGTGAAGTTATTAACAGCACTATATTTTCCTGTGTACGTCATCAGGTGGTCAGTGAAGGTCATCTATGAGTTATCTTATTGCTACATTGGAGTGTCAGCAGTACTTATAACTCTCATAGTCAGCAACGTTGTCTCCTTCTGCACAGGTAATGTTTGTTGCTTTCCATCTGTTACATGAAACTGCATTTTCGTGATTTCTATGCGTATTTGTGTAGGCATGTGTGTGTGTGTGTATGTGCTGCGTGTGCGTGCGTGTGTGTGTGTACTCACCTATTTGTACTCACCTATTTGTGGTTGCAGGGGTCGAGTCACAGCTCCTGGCCCCGCCTCTTCGCTGATTGCTACTAGGTCCTCTCTCTCCCTGCCCCATGAGCTCTATCATACCTCGCCTTAAAACTATGTATGGTTCCTGCCTCCACCACATCACTTTCTAGGCTATTCCATGGCCTGACTACTCTATGACTGAAGAAATACTTCCTAACATCCCTTTGATTCATCTGAGTCTTCAACTTCCAATTGTAACCTCTTGTGTCTGTGTCCCATCTCTGGAACATCCCGTCTTTGTCCACCTCGTCTATTCCGCGCAGTATTTTATATGTCGTTATCATGTGTGTGTGAGTGTGTGTGTGTGTGTGTGTGTGTGTGAGAGAGAGTGTGTGTGTGTGTGTGTGTGTGTGTGTGTGTGTGTGTGTGTGTGTGTGTGTGTGTGTGTGTTGTGTGTGTGGGGTGGGTGTGTGTGTGTGTGTGTGTATCTGTGTGTGTGTGTGTGTGCGTGTGTGTGTGTGCGTGTGTATACTCACCTAATTGTACTCACCTAGTTGAGGTTGCAGGGGTCGATTCTAAGCTCCTGGCCCCGCCTCTTCACTGGTCGCTACTAGGTCACTCTCCCTGAACCATGAGCTTTATCGTACCTCTGCTTAAAGCTATGTATGGATCCTGCCTCCACTACATCTCTTTCCAAACTATTAGACTTCCTGACTACTCTGTGGCTGAAGAAATACTTCATAACATCCCTGTGATTCATCTGTGTCTTCAGCTTCCAACTGTGTCTCCTTGTTGCTGTGTCCAGTCTCTGGAACATCCTGTCTTTGTCCACCTTGTCAATTCCTCTCAGTGTTTTGTATGTCGTTATCATGTCCCCCCTATCTCTCCTGTCCTCCAGTGTCGTCAGGTTGATTTCCTTTAACCTCGTCTCGTAGGACATACCTCTTAGCTCTGGGACAAGTCTTGTTGCAAACCTTTGCACTTTCTCTAGTGTCTTTACGTGCTTGGCTAGGTGTGGGTTCCAAACTGGTGCCGCATACTCTAATATGGACCTATCGTAGACGATGTACAGGGTCCTGAACGATTCCTTATTAAGATGTCGGAATGCTGTTCTGAGGTTTGCTAGGCGCCCATATGCTGCAGCAGTTATTTGGTTGATGTGCGCTTCAGGAGATGTGCCTGGTGTTATACTCAGCCCAAGATCTTTTTCCTTGAGTGAGGTTTGTAGTCTCTGGCCCTCTAAAATGTACTCCATCTGCGGTCTTCTTTGCTCTTCCCCAATCTTCATGACTTTGAACTAGGTGGGGTTGAACTCCAGGAGCCAATTGCTAGACCAGGTCTGCAGCCTGTCCAGATCTCTTTGTAGTTCTGCCTGGTCTTCGATCGAATGAATTCTTCTCATCAACTTCACGTCATCTGCAAACAGGGACACTTCTGAGTCTATGTCAATGCAAGATCACTTCTTCCTAAATTGGCAGAGATTAGGATTCTAGCTAACAAAATTAGGGCGGCAGTTATAACCATCTCTGAATCTTGGTTGGATGATACGGTGACTGACGACGAGGTCAAAATAGATGGTTACAATATAAAACGCTTAGATAGGAACGGAAAGGGTGGTGGAGTATGCGCCTACATTAGAAATGACTCTTAGCTTACAATCCCAAGACCTGATATAAATAACAATAAACTGGAGTTCTATGGTTTGAAGTGTGTTCCTAAGACCAAACCCATTTAGTAGGTACTGTTACCGCCCTCCTACCCGGACCAGTCTTAGAAGTCTTTTCCAGAGTCTTGTCCGGAGTTGAAAACAATGCGAGACAATAATTACTGGCGACTTTAATATCTGTTTTCAGCAGCAAAATAACGGGCTTATGCAAAAGGGTATAAGCATATTCTAGGATTTAATAGTTACACTCAAAACTAATTAAAACTCCAACCGGATCACCACAGTTCTCAGCACCCTAATGGACCACATATTTGTAACCGCTCTGAGAAACATTCAGTCAGTCAGGCGTCATTACCACTGGTCTTAGTGATCATTTCACATTTACTGCACCAGGAATTATCTAGGGATAGGATAGGCCTACACAGGGACACTAAAAAATGAGGTCAACTAGAAATAAAACTACAGTAAAGAAACACCTGGTAAGTAGGCTAACAATTGTGGGATGGACAGAGATACAAGTTGCACGACGTAAACGATGCCCTGGGAAAAATTCACAAAACTAGTTCTATTTCCATCCTTGATAATAATTGCACAGTAAAGAGGTTAGGATTAAACGAATGAACTGAACTGGATGATACTGAGATATTAGATAATTGAAATTCAGAGACCAGCTGCTAAAGATTTTAAAGCAGAACAGACAGGGATATATTGCAGCACTCTAAATGAATTCCAAAGGGTGAGGAACAGAGTACAGAGACTTATAAAAGGAGCAATAGGCCAAAGCACTAGTCAAAAATTGAAGAGTATTAGCATAACCCAGTAAGCTAGGCAACAACTAAAAACAGTTGGGGTATAGCCATAAGCCAGTAGATAGGTCAAACATAGTACTCACTTTCGATAATGAGGTATGCCTCGAAACATCTATGGTGGCCAAATTGATTTAATTCCTACTTCACTTTCTGTTGCATCAACACTAGTAAGTAAATACCAGCTGAATCAAAAATACCTTTAACACGACCTGATAAGTTTCAAACCTACGATACCAATAGGGGTATACCCAATCAGTTGTCAACTAGTAAGTGTATCTAAAGACTTTTATTTCAAAATAAGAAACTAAGCAGGGTAAACCCAACTAAGAGCACAGGCCCTGATAACATCCCGTCTATAGTTCCTAAAAGATGGTGCTCTGAACTGTCAATCCTATGCTCACATAATAATTCTATCAATCACCTATTACAGTATCCGGAGGGGTTCAGGAGGCCAGAGTCATCTCCTTTTCTTCAGAAAAATAGTAGGTCTGAGGTAAGCAGACTATAGGCCTGTTAGTATACTCAGTGTAATATCTAAAATTCTAGAGAGGGCGGTGTATTCTCAAGTAGTAGTACCTTAAAGACAACAACATTCTCCATACGCTATCAATCGGCTTTAGATGATCCAACTCAACGGAACACCTCCCTTTTTAATCTGATGGATTATCCTGAGAACTGAAATGTCAAAGGGGGGAACCTCATAGGCATGGTAACCTTAGACCTGCAAAAGGGTCTTCGATTCTTGTCAACCACAATATATTATTGTAATAAATTCCCAAGCTATTGGTATAGGTCTGCTGACTGGTTTAAGTCCTACTTTAGCACAGGAGACAAATAGTCAAATCAAAAACTGAATCAGAACCCTGCCGATAACATGTGGGAGTTCCCCAGTAGTATTCTGGTTCCCTTATTATTCTTATGTTATGTCATGATATGCTATCAGTCAAACACATGGTCAAGTGCAAACTCCTACTGTATGCAGATGCAGTGCTCTGTTAGTGTCAGGTATAGACCCACAAGATATTGCTACTGTTTGAACACTGGAACTGGAGTCCTGCAGCAAATGGTTGTAGACAAAAACATCATTACACCTAGGGAAAACTGAAGCCCCTTCTCTTTGGCCGAAACATAAAATGGAAGGGGAAAAATTTTTTTTTCAATGTAATGGGGAGCCCACCACTTTGGTTTTTCAGTAAAATATTGGGGGTCCCCTTTGACCCCTGCATGTCGGAGAATTGTAGGGAAAGTGTAGTAAAGAAAGCGAATGCCAAACTGAAGTTCCCGTTAGACAAGCACAGTGTTACCTTCTGAGGCTCGCAGGACCCCATGTCTAGCCCTTATAAAGCCATTGGATTACGCTTGCTCTTTTGGTACTCTGCCCGACAAAAAAAAATGAAAAATAGAGCAAAACACCCGAACAAAAAGTAAGATTATTGGGGTGGACCAAGAGAACATGTAGGCCCGGATGAATTACGCAGTTGGATATGCTGAAAGTTGAAAACAGAGGTAAAACAATGAAGCTAAAACATGTTTATAAAAAAGTCACAAAAAATGTCCAGATATCTTGCTGTCAATTTTGTCAAGGGTTTGGGGAACCCAAAGCAATCTTAGTACTAGGGGGAGAGAGCAAAAATTTGTAGTACCCAAAAGTCAGGGGCCCCAAGGTTTTCCAAACACCTTTTATTGTACAGCAAAAAAGGAAATTTGGAAAACGGGAAAAATTTTTTTACCCGACTGTCAAAGCCATTTCATAGCGGGGCCCGGGTTGGGGGAAAGGTCCCAAAAAGGGTGTCTGATGAAGGGTTGCTACAGAAAGGGGGGGGGAATTTATTTTCTATTTTTTGGGGTAACTTTACGTGTAAATTTTACCTTTTTTCCTTGTAAGACCCTCGTATTGTGATAGTTTTTAAAGCCCTTTGGTTTTTTAGCAGTTAGTCTTTTTAGTATGATAAAAAATTTTGTTACCCTTCATTGTGAATAATAAAAAAAATTTTTTTAAACCCTTTTTTTTTTAATAATAAGGTTAAAAGGACCCCAATGGAAAAAAAGCATCTGCTGTTTTTTTTTGGGTTACCCTGGGTTCTCTACACTTATGGGTATGTTGTTTTTTTTCTATGTAACTGTATTTGTGTTTCCCTAAATTTTAAACTTACTTACTTATTTTATTTTCTTCCGTCTTGCTTTAAAAATACCAGAAAAAAACCCACTGGCCCGAGGACTGCCCCTTTGGGGGACCCCGCTGGTCACAGGCCCCCACTCTGACACCTGCCACGTACCTGACTCGTGCTGTCTTCTTGACAAGTTTTCCCCTGATCCATTGTAGTCCCTTCCCTGTTATTCCTGTTTTGGTCCCCCATTTTTTTGGGCACAAAATCTTGTGTTTGGGAAATGTGTCCAAAAAAGCCCCCCTTGCAGTCCAAAAAAAATGCAAAACCACCC